GGGGAGGGGGTACGGCGGGCTGGGCAGTGTGGGCTGGTTTACAGAGACACTTCGTACAATAATCAAGACACATGACCGACTTGCAGGCATCCAGAGCTATCGTCTTCCTGGGCCCTCGCTCCTGCGAGTCAGCGACATACCCTTTTTTCCAATCACCGTAAGAGGCATTAGAAAGCGGAATACCGTGGTTTTCGCATGAGAAAATATATAGCAGAGAGGTTCATTGCACGAACATTATTGAATGGAGATCATGGGAACAAACAATCGCACACGGATGACAAATTTGTCTGCTTACCGAAGATAATATTCTCAAGTTCGTGAAGCATTCTGGGGGCGTGTAAAAGCACTCGTGCGTACAACAATAATCTTGACCAAAGAATCTTTCCTCGAGGCTTTCGAGCTAAAAGAAGATAGTTAAACAGAAAAGAAACAGCAGTTGTGCAGAATGTACTAAGGAGATACAAATGGTCGACCTTTTTCATATCCCTAAGGTCGATAATCATGTTACTATAAACTTAACAAGAGCAGGCTTTTACATTCATATAATTTGGGTTGATGTCTGAAGGGTATCGTAAAACCGAAACCAGAGTGTAAATTAATTCAGTACTCCTTTTCAATCCTCCGTAGGAAAAAAGATGGCGACTGGTACATTTACCCATAGTTCTTAGCGCACGCAAACCTTAATAACGTTGAAAGCGTACAGAAAAGTTATAAAAATCCTCAAACCTAGGCTACTCAATGTCCTTAGTACAGGGACAAACATTGTAAAAATTTGGCTTTCTTTGTGCCTTGTAGGCTATGTAAGGTTCGCAAGGCATTGTGGTAAAATGTACAGGCACCATCTTTTTTCTTGCGGTAGATTGGTGTTAAGTTTAGCCCAGGCTACTGAATTTCAGATCGCGCGGTGACTCGGAGAAGGAGTCAACCGATCAGCGTTCTATAACTGCTGTCCAAAGGTTGTCTGCCTGAGGACAGAATTTAGTTTTCCTGGCCTCAAAAGGCATATAGGAGAGTTATTTGCTTTTATTTGAGTTACGATAAGCCTTGTGGAAAGCTGGCTTTAGGACAGAATTGTATCAAGATTATCAGTGACAAGTCAAATTCTGTGGCTATGTTTTTGCGAATCCAGACAGATATTGAAATTAAATGTAACGTAAGGGCTGCCAGTGAAATCTAGAAGTAAATAACCGATTCCACTGCTTACCATGTTCTTGTCGCCATGATTGGCTAATTTAACCCACAGTAAAGGCATATTGAGGTCATTTAGGTGAAATCGCAGAGGTTAAGCATGTCTAAGTTAGTGCCGCGAATCAAATGATCAATTTAAGCTCAAATTTAGCTTTGTTTGGCTCGTTCGACTCATTTGCAGCGACTTCAAAGGCCTGTATAGGCATGGTATGGACTCTATTAAGAGTNAATCAAATGATCAATTTAAGCTCAAATTTAGCTTTGTTTGGCTCGTTCGACTCATTTGCAGCGACTTCAACGGCTTGTACAGGGATGCTATGGCCTCTTTTAAGAGTACACGAGGCAGATAACACTCTCAGTACCACATGGCCTTATTTATGTACAGTATCTGTCCGATTCTCCAAGAACATGCCCGCTATTTTGGTGCAAAGATTTAAGACAGTTTTCATAAATCCAGTCATTATGTACTGATTAAAGTTTCATTTTCTGATTATATCTGCATTATATTTTGGTTGCTTATTAAAGAACAATGGTTTAGAAGAGCAATTGTGATATATCTGTTAAGGCATCACTCAATTTAAACCAGTCATGAGGTTTGACTCTACCCATTAATACAGACACGCCGTTGATACTGCCAAAACTTCATGGCCCGTTGGTGACCTTATTATCGGGGTTCCACTGTAGTTGAGGGGTACTCGTGAATATTTCAGTGTCAATGAATGAGACACGTAGGGCGCTTTCCATTCGACCAAAAATTCCGGTGTGAATTTCCGGAAATGTCCATGGGCGAATAGTACAGACTTTTCCGGTCTGGAAAATAATAAGCCGCACAGTTTTGTTCGCTTAGAATTTTTCAATGACTTGAGGTTTAAATCGCAAATATAGAAGCAAACAGATCACTGATAAGTCAACATTGTGACTTTTGATAGACCACGGTAGCAGGGACCTTATACAAACCACAACGGCAGCGAAAACGTCGCAAAACAAAGGGTTTAAATAATGAGTCGTACAATGGTTCTGCACGCGTTATAAATTTTTGTACATATCCTAGCCAGCCTGTGCAAAGTAAACAAGTACACCACGGGAACATTACTTTAATAAAACGCTTTCTTGACTGACTAATTCAGCTGTAGCTAGTATTTATCGACAGATAAGTGGAAGGTTCTAGACTGAAATATTAATCCATTTTGGAATACGCGTCGGTGTCATCCTTGCTTGAGATGTCCAACTCGCTGTGATCGCGACCAGAAGAACTAGCACTGAATAGAAAATTGCAAATTTGCATAATTTCCGAAAAAGAGGACAATCTCGTGAAGTATACTCAAATTTTCGAACATTTTTTTGCTGAAATTTCGGTTCTCTTTGATTGTCATTCCGGAATTTCCGGAATTTTCAGTAGAATGGTTCGCTTTTCGGAAATTCAACGATTTCCGGATTTTCTGGAACTTTTCCCTGGAAATTTCCTTAACATTTGTCCCCGTTTCGAAATTTCGGAATGTTTGGTCGAATAGACCTTTCCCGCATTCCAGCAAACAATGGCATCGAGTCGAGGTCAGGGTGGACAAAAATACACCAAATGTATGAAAATGTCCACCCCAACCTCGCTCTGGTGCTATTGTTCGTACGCACTGAAGTGGAATGAGGGAAAGGTCTATGGAAAGCGCCCATACAGTGTAAGAACCTCATTTTTTAAGTTAGAGGTACATTTAAAGTATACACTGTGGTTTTACTTTACAAACCAGCTAATTTCATTCATTTCAAGCATCCAGTATAAAAGATCTTATCAAACCAAAATAGCACTTTATAGCACTTAAAATTTTAAATAAGTTGCAATTTCTTATTATGTTTTTACTGAAGAAAAGGCCCAATATGTCTGCTAGCTGTCTAGTACATGAATGACTGTGTTGATAGCTAAATGGTGAGCTGTAGTGAGAAATGAGCCTGTTTACCAGGCCTCTTTCTACTGTAAATTCTTGTTTTAGCAGATAATGCTATGACCGTTAAGGAACGTTAGACTGACCTTTTAGGCTCTGTAATACAATAGCAGCACAATGCATGAATTGATGGTAAATCAGAACAACACATCTAAAAGTGTTTGGGTGTATTTGCTTGTGTATGAAAGGTACAGTGGTGTGGGTAGTTTTCATTCCTGTGTTGACTGACTTAATTTTTTTTTTGGATTATTAGTCATAGCAAGTGATGTAATTAATGTGACCCTGGTTGTCATTGGTGTGGAAAGCAATAAATTATTGGAGAAACTCAGGGAAACGGTAACTAATTTGTTTGTGTAACACACTTAATTGTACATCCAACCTTATTATGCAGTCACCCTTGGGGAATAGACAGGTTCTATTATGATTGTCAATCATGGTGAGTGGGAAGGTGAATTGGCAGCAGCTGGGCAGGCAGAATGACAGATGGACACACAGATTAATATATGATTGACTGCGAGAAAGAAAGACAGACAGACAGACAGACAGACAGACAGACAGACATGAATCGATTTGAATTGTTAAGAACTACTTTTCTGGTAATGGACTGATTGGAAAAGACTGCAGTAAACGCATTTCATATTTGGGATTAGTTGGTGGGTAAGGATTGTGTTGATTGGTTACTTGAAAAGGGCTAGTCAGGTGATATAAGGGAGGGCTACTGCACTGTACATTTGGTTGCGTAGCAATCATTAGTTTGAACACTCGGACTAAAATATTCAGTTTTTGGTCAAATTAAGAAATGCACGTGGTTGAAATACGGCGCAGTGATCATGATACTTAAAAATGAAAAAGTGATGCAAGGTTGATGATGTTGTGTTTTCTTACGGTAAATTAGATCACACATTACATTACATACACGTAAATCTGTTATCGACATGCCTCAGCACCATTTTAAGCAGCTTTTAATCACCTCGTGTAATTGTTTTAAGCGGTTACTGCTGAACATGTTCATTGAATTAACCCATTTAAAAATGTATAGTAGTTATTTAATACTAATAAAACATTTTATTCATTTAAAATGTTAATTATATTTTTCAGCTCAAGGAAATCTTCGCTGGTAAATTGGATTATGAAAGTGTGGAACAGAAAAATATCAGGTGCTGTACGCAAACAGTTTGAGATTCTAAAATTTCTGTAGCTTTGTCTTTTCGACTTGCGGCAGAAAACTTTCAGGCGTCTTTTCGATCGGCACGTTTAAGATCTTTTAGGCCAGTGATACCGAATGTTTTCTCCAGGCAGTATTTGTTATCCTGGATGAGAAAAACATGCCAACATGTAATTAATCTGTCTCCATCTTCCAGCATTAATCAGGAAATTCTCTACCAGAGGAAGAACGAGACCCTGAACCCGGCCAGTTACCTGTAAACAAAATGCAAGCAACAAACGAAGGGATAGAGAAAATTTGAATGTTGTGATAAATGTTTAACAAATGTTAATGTTTGGTTTGGTTTAACAAACGCATATTCATAGAGGAGCTTAGGCCGCCATGCGTAACCCCATAACTATAGGAACAGAACCACATGCATGTATCGAAATAGCAAACCACGTCATGTCAGGTTCACCTTTTTAATCAGGGCTGGGTTGTTCGGGAGGTATACAAATGTTTTTCACTGCTTTTATTTTGTGTAGTTTGAAATTATTGAAACTCAAACAGAAGGCTAAACAATACAAACAGAAAACCTCACCGCAATGTTACAAAACTCAAATCAGAATTCTCGCTTATCCTGGATTAGCTTACTAATCGGGCTTTCAACAACCCAGCCCAGGAGCTCCACTTTTAGGCTTGGCTAAATCTAGATATTATACACAGAATATTCTCCTATGACGTTGCGGAGAGTTTTGATTGTATTGGTTTTGATTGCATTCTCTACAAACTCATTCTCTTTTGTTTCTCACCATACAGAGAAACAACGAAAAATTCTAACGGGGTGACGAATGTTATTGTTGATGTGGCCATGAAGTTCAGTTCAACTGTAAGAGAAAGAGACGTAATCGTTATACTTCGAGATGCTGCTAACAGTGGAGGGTTTGGAGATTTTAATGTGAGTTCCATAACAGGCACACGAGATACAGGGATACCAGCCACCATGACCACAACACCTACCGGCTCACCTAACAGTAAGTAGTCCATCATATATTTTGATTTTGTATTGGATGGACTGGTGTCTTCTCCAAAAAACTATAAAAATCCAAACGTTTTGAGTTGGTTAGACAAGATAGCAAAAGATCTTTTGCATCCATGTATTGCTAGATTAAATGGAGGGATCAAGATTTCGTATTGTATGCTATTTTGTCGTTAAGTGTCCATTGCACTCTTGTGCTGGGCATGTNGATCTTTTGCATCCATGTATTGCTAGATTAAATGGAGGGATCAAGATTTCGTATTGTATGCTATTTTGTCGTTAAGTGTCCATTGCACTCTTGTGCTGGGCATGTCCAGCGATTTGATTTTTGGACAGACCATAGTTAATAGAGGGGGAGGGGAACCATTCTCCCCTATTAACTATGGACTAACGGGCCAAATTTCAAGAATTCCTTCAGTGGGCAACATTCTTGCTGAGTCGATTTTTATCAGTTAAAATCTTCCAAGGTACCTTCCAGTGGCTACCAAAGCCATACACATGTGTTATAGTGATACAGGCCTCTTAAGTGCGGAATAAAACATTATAAACTAATAATTACTTACTTAAAGCTATTGCTGCAGCTGTCATCCACACCTTATATGGTATGGAAATTTTGAATTATTTTTACTTCAACCTCTGGATGAGATTTGTAATAAATTACATTGGGCATGCCATAAGACTGTAAAGCTGCTATTAATTAGGTATACACCTCAATAATAAGTGCTCAACTCTATTTTTTCCCAAACATAAACTAAGTAAAACATGGCAAATTTAAAGCTAACCTGACTGCTCGAGATTAACTGTCAGAGCCTTGATGTAGGTATTAAGGGTACTGCCCAAAGACATAAGATTT